CGCGCCCTCCGCGCACCCCACCGACTTGGCGCCGGAAAGTTCCTTCCCGGAGCCGTCGCTCCCGCGGCCCCACCTGAGCCCGTCATCCTCGGCCGCGCTGCCGGGGACAGGCTCGGCACTCATGCAGACAAAGACACGGCCTCCGGAGTCTGGCGTGGCTTTAATCCCCCCGCTCCCCACAAGCGACGGCCTGCAGGAGACCAGCCGGCGGGAGATAACGCGGTTTAAGCACTCGCTGCCGGCTGGCAGCTCACACTCGCCGTCTCAAATCATCCTGAAACGCCCATGTTTCAGATGGGGAAACTGAGGCGTGCAGTTCATGCGACTCGCTCAGGGCCACCCACCTAATAATGCCACGCTGGGACTGGAACCCAGCCCTCCTGACTCCAAAGCGCACGCTCCTGCCCCTTGCCCCCTTGGTCCCCTCTCCCCTGAGTCCCCAGTGCCTGTGTGGGGTCCCCCGCAACCCTCCCCGGATGCCCACTGTGCACACAGCCCTGAGCTGGGGGTCTCCACCTGACCTGCTCTCCTGGCAGAGAGAGCCACTGGCCCACGAGGAGTTAACCGGACGCCACCTCGAGCCCCAGATGCTCTTAGCCATGACTCATCAGAGCATGTGGCTGCCATTAGAGCTGTCCCTTCACAAAGGAGGGGACAGAAGGAGGAGGGACTCAGCGCCCCGGGGGCAGCCCTGAGCCCCAGGACGTCAGAAGAGGAAACAGAAGGGGACAGCCCGCAGAAGCAGCCACGTGGAAGCAGGACTGGGACCAGAGCCCAGGCCAGGCGGGCTGGGCTCCATGGTAGGGGGGAGAGGTCTGGGAGATTACTGCTTACATCTAACCAGGCCGTCTGGAAAGGCAGTGAGTTTCCGCCTGCCCCTGTGCAAGCAGAAGCCAGATGCTCATTTGCAAGGATGTCTCACCTCAGGGAGTCTCACACACAGGCGATTAACCACAAGAAGCAGGCTATGATAGATCCACCAGCAACTACAAAGGATCCAGATGAGGGAGAGTCTGGAGGGCTTCTTGGAAGACATGGGGACAGGGCTGAGCCTTGAAGTTTATATTCTGAAGTCGTGGAGAGGGTATATCAGATGGGGGAACAGCATGCATGACCTCATGGAGGTGGGCAAAGGCACATGGTGACAGCTGGGGTTTGTGAGGCTGGTGAAAAGACCAGCGGCATGTCCAGAGGAGTCCGGGTGATGAGGCTGGGCCCTGACACATGCCAGGCGCGTTTGGATCTCTGGGTATTGACATGTGCTGTTCCCTCTGCCTGGAACACACCTTCCTCCCTTGCCACTTGTTATTCGTTCGTGCAACCAGCAGTGGATCCAGAAGCTTACAATTGGAGGCCATTGTTCAAAAAAGAAGACAGATTTACCAATACCAGTTGAGTGTTCCTAATTTGAAAATCCAAAATGCCCCAAATTTGAAACGTTTTGAGCACGGATGTGGAGACTGAAAGCCAGCAGTTGTTGTTGCTGTCATTTAACTGCTGACACAGGCATTGTGGTGATGCTGCTGGCTGCTTAGTTACCCTGAATACATTATCTTTTCCCCCCTCGAAATAATGTTATGTTGAATACATGTGAATAAGTGTAAGAAAATAATTGCTTATCTGTGGCATCAACAAGGGGGAACCCCAAAACCCGGAATTTATTTATAAAAAATTGCTTATTTATTTTTATATGTACTAAAAAGTACTCTCTATTTGATGCAATACACCTATTGAGATGCTTTTTCCACTGCTCAAAACAGTTTTTTCTTTTTAAATAGAGGCAGGGTCTGGCTATATTGCCAGAGTGATCTTTTCTTTTATTTTCTTTTTGAGTTGGAGGCTTACTCTGTTGCCCAGGCTGGAGTGCATTGACATGGTCATGGCTACTGCAGTCTTGATCTGCTAGGTTCCTCCGCCTCAGCCTCTGAAGTAGCTGGAACTATAGGCACATACCACCATGCCTAACTTTTTTTTTTTTTTTTTTTTAATGCAGAGACAAGGTCTCGCCATGTTGCTGAAGCTGGTCTTTTTTTTTTTGAGTTGGAGTCTCATTCTTGTCACTCAGGCTGGAAGAGTGCAGTGGCACACTCTGCCACCGCAGGCTTGACTTGCTGGGCTGGGTTGGTCCTTCCACCTCAGCCTTCCGAGTAGCTGGAACTACAGACGCACACCACCACGCCCGGCTAGTTTTTGTGATTTATCGTAGAGACGAGATCTCACCAAGTTGCCCAGGCTGGTCTCGAACCCCCAGGTTGAGGCAATCTCTCGCCTCAGCCTCCTAAAGTGCTGGGATTACAGACGTGAGTCACTGCACAAGACTCAAAACTGTTTTTGAACTAATTTTTGGTGCCTTTTATTGCTTCTGCAGTTTTTTGTTTCACTTCTTCCACATTGGCAAAACATTTCCCTTTGAGGACTTTCTTTATCTAGGGAAACAAACAAAAAAATCGCCCGGGGCAAGAACAGGTGAATAGGAAAGGTGGGACCCAGGGGTCATGCCATTTTTGTGCGCTCCTAAATCACCCATCACGAAATGGGCAAATGGTTGAAAGAACTCCAAAAAAAATTCACTGAAGCCAAATGCAGCCTCGCACAACAATGCTAGCTGGTACACTGATGCTGATGTGTTCCTAAAACACTTACATGGTGGGGGAAGCCTGTATTACAAAGGACCCACCCAGGCTGGGCGCAGTGGCTCAAGCCTGTAATCCCAGCACTTTGGGAGAGCAAGGCGAGAGGATTGCCTGAGCTCAGGGGTTTGAGACCAGCCTGGGCAACATGGTGAGACTTTGTCTCTACAATAAATCAAAAAATAAGCCGGGTGTGGTAGCCTGTTGTTCCAGCTACTTGGAAGGCTGAGGCAGAAGGATCACTGAGTCAAGCAGATCAAGGCTGCAGTGGCCATGAGCATGCCACTGCACTCCAGCCTGGGCGACAGAGTGAGACTCTGACTCAGAAAAAAAAAAGGGGGCCCACCCTCTAAAAAAAAATTCCAGGTGTTTTTGGGGAGTTCATCTTGTAAATTCAGTTAGGAATGATGGGTGATACCAAACAACATCACACACACACACATAAAAAAGCCTGAGATGGTGACACCTTTGCTTTCTGATGGTTTGATGTACAAACTGTTTCATGCACAAAATTATTTAAAACGTTGTAAAAAATTATCTTCAGGTTATGTATATAAGATGTATATGAAATATAAATGAATTCTGTGTTTTGACTTGGGTCCTACCCCCAAGATATCTCATTATGTATATGAAAACATTCCAAAATCTGAAAAAATTCTGAGATCAGAAATACTTCTGGTCCCAAGCAATTTGGATAAGGCATACTCAGCCTGTAAAAAAATTGCCAGGATTCTCCCAGAGTCTTGGAAGGAGCCAGGTGAGCGAGGGATTCTGAAGCTCTAAGCTACATTAGCTCCAAGGTAAATCTTTACTGTATTTGGCCAGTGTTTATTAAGAACCTGCCATATGCCAAAACTCCTACTCACCCTTGCAGGTTTCAGTTCAGAAACCACCTCTTCCAGGAAACCTTCCCTTCCCAACTGGGTCAGGGGCTCCCTAGGCACCCACTGGATTGACCTCCTCTGACCTACCCAAATCACCTGGGCTGTCACCGTCAGTGTGTGGTTTGTAGTGTTTGGTGGTGAGGAACGGGAGTCAGGTTTGCATGTGACTGTCCCTGCTTCTCTAGGGCAGGGCCTGACAAGCTTCATCTCTGTGTCTCAGGGCCCGACACAAAGTGCCTGACTAAACACCAGACACTCACACTGAGTCTAGCACTTTACAGTTTCCCTCTGAGGTAATTATTACAACAATGGCTGACACATCAAACGATTTCTGCATGCTACACACAGTGTGAAGTGTATAACATGGATTATCTCATTTAATTTTCACTTTTAACCACCTCTCTGAGCCTGAGTCTCCTCATCAATAAATAGAAATAATACTGCCTACTTCAAAGGATTGTTGTGGGGATTAAGAATTTATATATTTACTATCCTGGGCAACAAAACAAGACCACACCTCTACAAAAATGTTTTTTTTTAATTAGCTAGTCAGCCGGGCTCGGTGGCTCAGCCTGTAATCCTGAGCTTTGGGAGGCTGAGGTGAGCGGATTGCCAGAGCCCACAGGTTCGAGACCCGCCTGGCCAACTTGGCGAGCCCTCATCTCTACAATAAATCAAAAAAATTAGCCAAGCATGGTAGCGCACGCCTGTAGTTCCAGCTACTGGAAGGCTGAGGTGGAAGGATC